AACTTTATTCAGTAGGCAGATCAAGCCTGGACAGCCCTCATAAACGTTTTAATGCATGAATTCTATGGCCGACCTTGTTCTGCATTTACATAGCGTTGTCACCACACATTTAAGAACCAATGAATCGCATGACTCTATAAACACAGTTAATAGCTGAGTGTCATTAAAACTGTCGAATATGAGGTTGTGATACAATGAGTTGCGTGAGCGGGAATTTTTGATATAATGTGCTGTTGGTTTTGGTGATAAAGTTAATCGCATTGTTTCGTGGTGGCTATAACGTAAAGTGATATAGCCTCTCCTCCGTACCCAAATGTCAACCACCTTCTGTCTAATGTTAATCCCACCTTAAAAATCCCTCGCAAACAATGGACGTAACAATGCTTATGGTTCTACCTACATCTGTATTTCGTTCACAAAATGCGTTAGATGTGCATCCGTAGTTGCTTTGTAAGAGTAAAGAAATGGTTACTTTGAAACGTGAGTGTGCAGAAATACATATGCATTTCACCCAAACACCCAGTTCGACCAATGACCAAAATACCCCCGACGCGTTGTGGGTAGTTTTATAGTTGAAAACTACATATCATCTGAACCAACGTATCATCTGAAGCGGTTTGTGCCAGCGTGCGAGCGCTGTGTTGTGTTCTGCAGGCCCAACGCGCTGCAGGCGGCCCACCGGGCGGCCGAGCAGGACGACCCCAACAGCGAGGGCTTCCAGCGCTTCTGGTTCGGCGGCGTCGGCGAGGGCAAGAAGAAGAAGAAGAAGAAGGCGGAGGGGGGCGGGGGCGGGGGCGGACGAGGCACGGGGAAGGGGACGTGGGCGTGGCGGCTGGACGAAGACGACTCGTGACGACATGCCGACACGTTCCTGACAGAGCGCGGGCGGCTCGCCCAAAACGCGGCGCGCGCATCACGACTTACTCGTGCCTGCGGGACCCTGGCCACGCCGGCCCTCGCGCCGCCCACGCCCGCGCCCGCCCCCGCGCCAGACGCCCGCGGCAGGCGCCGCGCGCCCGCCAAGTAGAGCCCTTCACAAACCCCCTTTCCTCAGTGAAAGCTTGTAATAAAATAATAAATAAATAATGTAAATATAAGATGCATATGAAATAAAGCATGGTAAGTTGCATATACAAAAGTCGGCTGATATGTCCTCCGCATTTCCATTTTAATCTTTTTCCCTCTTGTGCTGCGTCTTTTAATTTTGTCTTCTAATGTCGATATTTTTGACTCTGTCTCTCAGATTGACGTTCAACATTTTCCTCTCTGAGCAACATGACTGAGAGTTGCTTCTATTGATTTAATAACGCTTTTTTATTTGAGAAATGACAAGGGGGAATTGTATGCCATATTCGTCACTAATGGTCGCTAGGTTATCCAAATAATCATTCAAAAAAGATAGTTTAAGTGACACGTTACATGACAAGAGACATGACACAATAGTTTAAGTGACAAGTGACACAGGTACAATATCGCAAAAATTATCTCTGAGAAGTTATTGTGTTTTCTTTATTTCTAATACAGCCTATATTACACTCAAAATGGCGCGACAACTACCATAATTTTTAAAACAATGTACATGACGTTAATGAAAGGACTAAGGCGCTGGTATAAAGGACTGGTATACTGCCACTCCGCTGCATATTCATTATCTTGTTGTAGCTTAATTTAGTTATCCTGCAGACGTAATATTTCAGGAACAATCGAAATGTGAATAGAAAATCCTATACATGATGCTGAATTCAGAAAATTTACCTCTAAGGAAATGACAACAATGCTCATAAATGATGTTCGAACAGTCTGGACCTTGCGTGTTCTACTACTCCACACGTCTACTTGTTCAAGCAGGGGTTCAAGTCCATGGGGTTGGTCCCTAAGCTTATTGCTGGTACTTTAACTCCTCGACGAGCGAAGTACGCCGGCAGTCTAGCATCCGGATCCCGCCGAAACGCAGTTCGCGCTCTCGCCAACCTCCCCATGCAATGCCTGGGGGGGGGGGGGAGCTGCCAGATCAGAGCTACCAGTTTTCCAGGCTGGTATGGGAGTCGAATGAATGCACTAGAAGAAGTCCCTTCTCCGTGTCAGGAGTATCAGGCCGCTGCCACGCCGCCGCCGAGAGAGCCCGACAGGGGCCACCCGGACTACGTTTCGAGCGGCTCGGAGCCCCCTTCCCGTCTCCTCGCCTTTCAGCTAGTGACGTGAGTATCGCCACAACCTGGACAACCTGACGGGTAGTATCAAGTTCCCGCCGGATTCTCTGTGGATTCCAGAGCATTCCGAAGAATCTCCTTCATCCAATCCTGCCCAAACGCGCCAACTGGTGGGTTACAAGGCAAGGGCCGGCAACAAGGAGCTTAGAATCTCCTACTCACTGCCTACACCTTGAAGCTAAAGACGAGAGAATCGCCGAGAACTCAGGGTCCGGGCGATCCCCACCTGCACAGACGCGATTCCCCTCTCCGGGGGATGTGCAGGACGAACAGAATCGCGCTGTTTCTTCCCAGTTGCGTCCCAGCATTGAGAGATCTGAAGAGGCTTGGATGTGACTCCTCGTTGTTCTAGGTTCGTGTAGGTTTGTTCTCTGTATTAATTTGGAAGAAGAAATGCCTCGTAACGGTATTAATAGTCCATTTTTTTAAAAAAACTATGGATAATTAGCTCTGCATCATAAATAATCAACCGAACCTTAATCCTCTAATAAGGAAGTGTTACGAACTTTATTTCAGGTTAAGGTTGGAGAGCAGGACCAGAAACATTACCCCCTCCCCATAAATGCTGAGTGTCCTGTGTTACGCTCCTGGCATTATGATGAAAAAAAAGTTCACGACATCGGCTGGCCGGTTCAGCCACTAGCGTTGTTCAGAGGGACGAACACACGTTTTGCCGTCAATCGATTTTTCGGTACCAAGGACCAACAAAACATGAATTCTGGCTAGACCTCTAGTTGGTGGATTTCCCCCTACATTTAGCAACTGGATGTATCCACTTTTTTGTTACCAGGGCCCGGCAATTTTTTTTTCTGCCGAAAATACGCCGTTCTTACGCGCAGCATTACAAAACTTCACACACACACACATGAAATGAAATGTCAGATTACTGTACCATGACCTATAAAATTACGATAACAATTTTCTCAAGTTCTAATTTTCTTTCAATTTTTTCCTAATTTTTTTCAATCAGTCCCAGCATTGGGCACCTTGAGTCACAGGGCTCCGGACGATCACCCAATCTGCCTCTGTCCAGCGCCATCCCTGATTATATACATTACACTGACAGAGATGTCAATTTCAATAATGAAGTTGTTCTGCTGGTGTAATTGGTGTGTGATTTCAAGTTTCTTAAAGCTAACAGGTTATTCAGCTCTGCAACAAATCTCAAAATCAATGAATGTCATAAGAGACAGAACAGCTCTCTCTCTCTCTCTCTCTCTCTCTCAGATATTCCTGAAGCTCTAATGATGTTTGTAAATATAATAAGACTAAAATATTAAATATTAATTTTGGATTGGATGCTCTATCTTCTTTCAAATATTTGAATTTTCTCTGTTTTTAAGGTGTGTTTGAAACTACTGTCTTTACAGGATTAAGTAAAATTATTCGTCCTCATTGATAACAAGGTGTGTTGGAAGATATAACCATTTTATCAATACATCTTGAAATATTTATGAGATTTAATAAATATATTTTGAAATGTTGAGTTTTAAAACATATTGAAAAAACTAAATTGCATTAAATAATTCCCATTCATTTTATTTGGTGTATTCTATATTCCTTGAATACTCTTCACATCTCATTTACTACTCATTTAAGTATGGTTGGAATTACTTTCCATGTTAAGGTAAAACCAATCATCTATTTAATTGTCATTTTTTCACTTTCTAGTAATATCTAGGCTTAACTTCGATAATCATTTTAAATTTTATACATCATTTTCATTTCTATAGCAATGTTAGTTGTGCTCTAATAACAAAAATAATATTGAAAACTGGTGGACTATTGTCTCCTACATTCTCATCCATCCTAATAGAAAGTTCCGAGTCAATTCAGAAATAGCTTTGCCCATTCTGAACAGAGCCAAACAGAGTATTTGAACTGTTTTCAATTTTAGCAGAATAATTCTGATTTTCTTGGACATTGTTCATATGACTTTCAAAACAAAAATCTATATAGTACACTGAATAATACTTCAGTAAGTTTCATTTCCTCATTAAATGATAGTCTACCTATTATGAATACATATAAAAGTTTTGATCATCCATTATCATTGTACAATAAAACTTGCTCACTGCAGAACATGTATAACCCGGAAATCTGTCTAATTTGAACATAAAATCGTGGTCCTACCGAACATTTACTGTATATGAAACTTCATGCTCATTTGTGTACTTCTTAGATGCCTTACTTATTCTAATAAAATGTGTTTGCATATCACAGACTGCCCTAATTAGGCATTCTAATTAATAATTTTGTTTCCCACAGAGTCCATGTTTATTTTTATGAACTCTCGCCATCAACGTCACCACCTACAAAGTAACAGATTTGTACATTTGACAGCCAAATGAGAACGTTAATATGAAATCTACAAAGCTTACTAATAGATGTATACATAGTATACAGCACTCACATGTGAGAAAATTTATTTCACTTTCATCAAATCCTTTGTGTTTCAATAGTTTGCTTTGTCCCTTAAGCAACATGTACAAAATTTCCACATGACTAAATTTCTCGATTTTAAAGTGAAATGTAAATGCGCTCCAACTCAGACTATATCAGAGAACATTAGACACTTCTCAGCAATCATATACAGAGTATATCACCTTTGCAGCAATAATTGAAGTTAACCTCAGAGGGTACGATTGGATTTACCTCCCCTATCAGTTTTATCTTATTTTATTGTGTAACTTCTACATTTTCAAACTATCTTCTCCCCATTTTAAATGTTGGCAAATTTATAGGAGTCAGATAGGTACATGCCAGTATAAAATGTACAAGATTTTTACTTCAGTGTATATTATTATTTTTTTATTTGATGAGTGTTCTAGTGGATTCATCTGCAGGGTAATCTTGGCAGAAGAAAATGTTAATTACAATATATTTGTTTCTAATTTTATCATCACCAGATTATATTCATGTATGAAATTTTAGGTCATAAGAGTGATATTTTAAAAGGCAATTATTACATCTATGCATCTAAGAACGAGAAAAACAATCGATTAAAATTAGAAATAATGTTTGCAATTTACCATGCAGAAACAAGATTCTCTTCTTTAAGCAACAACTTGAAAACTAACAGAAATTTAAAAAAATGTTTTCATTTCACAAAAGGAGCTCTGAATAAGTAAGATAATTAAATTTGACCAAAAAAAAACTCAATATTTGATGGTAAAGAATTCAAATTGAACTGAGAAAATCATATAATCAAAATTACAACTTGTCTGAATTCTTTCTTTGTTGTAATATTATTTATTTGAAAATAATATTGCTTCTATAAACATGTTTTGTGCTGCTGAATTTTCTGCAATGCAAGTATGAAATAGAAACAGTATTGTTGAAAAAACTTATTACAAATATTACAATGAAAGTAAAATGGGAAAAGTATTTTAAAGAACAAAAATAGTACAGTACCAATATTTTTAATATCAACTGAAACAATGACAGGTCATTTTTATCCACTTTCTTCACTTCACTTTCATTAAATAAATATGAAGTCTAGTAAATGATGAATAACTGTATACCCTGTTGCACAGAACAAGCCCATCTGCACGGAATGCTAATTGAAATAAGGGTAAAGAATTGTGACAAGGGCAGACAGGATTGTGGTATCTTTTAGGAGGCAAACTGTGTTCTAAGGTTGCTGTGACTTCCATTCTCTGAAATTCATGACTTAGAAGCAATTGCACAGGTTTTCTAGCAAGCACAGTTTTGATGAAAGTACTAATGATTTTGAGAAAATGTGATGTCACAGCTTTTCAGAGTGGATTAACACTATATAATTATTTTAATGAAGCAAAAACAACACTTGGGTTTTGCCATGCCTACATTCATTTAATATATACTTTTTAAATAATTAATGTAGATAACTTCACAGTTTTGATATGGGGTTCTCATATGTACAAACTGCATATTCTTTACAAAGAGAAGAGTCAAATTATTTGATAATATGAATAAATTTATCTTCTTATATATACGAACTCTAATAAAGTTCAATCTTTAGGAAATGGAACTCCACATCTGATATTTTCTGTTCATGTATAAAAATTTTATTGATATGATGATACTGTGCCACTGTTACATGTCTTTTATATCTTAATTTATCTTTGCTTCACATTACATTCAAACAGGGCAATTGCAAGCAAAGATACAATGCTACCTGCCTTGAGAGAAGACGAGACACTAGCTGCTCCCAGGGACTATCAACTAGCTCCATCAGCCAACTCTAGGGATTTGTTCAAAGTTTAAGCTCGTTAATATTGGGCTGGAGTGATTGGAGCCTATTCATTGGCACTACAAATTAATGGAACAGAAAGCTCTAGGCTAACTAAGATCTATTTTTACATTTGGGAACTGGCAATGGCTGGTTATCTATCAAATTCATTCAACACTGCAACTGCTGCTCTCTTCTTGAAATATTATGCCTTTCCTTTAGCATTGTGCCTCCCACATACAAGCTGTTGGGGTGGAAATAGCACAGTTCTTGGATGAACCAGAAATTCAGAAACTTTTAGACTATTTTTATCTGAATTTTTAATGTTTATCTGATTGTCAGACTTCCTTTAATTTTTGTCATAACAAATCCAAAAATAGTATCTGTTGCTATATTAAAGAACTGCTTATGAATGTGTACGCATGTTTGTTTTCATGCATGAATACATGCAAACACTTTGAGACATAATGCACTACCTGTTCCTTGAGTATCCAGATATAACCAGACTTTACATTAAAGCATGTGGTACAGATTCCTTTATTACTACTCAAATGGCAGACAGAAACAAACCCATCTTTGTCTACTTCACACCACTGCAAGTCACTAACATGATACTGAATGCAAAAGCAAGGATCTAAATTATTGGTATCAAAAATTAGTTTCTCTTTTCTACCATTTATAAATAATACTATTTTCACACTAGTATGATTACAATTCTGAAGCTTAAAAGTTTAAAGAAGATTAGAAATACTAGGTTTATGGGGAAAGTGTATTGCAAGGGGAAAAAGTCAGTGAGGTACGTAGGACTTAGAAAGTTAGAGCTGTATTGTTCAATGCATTATGGCTATGGAAAAGGACTTTTTTCCTACAATAAGCTCGACAAATGATTTAGTCTGAAGCAGTTACGTTCCTAGTACATAAGACACTTCTTTAGAACAGAAATAGTGTGCGAGAGGAAATAAGGTTAGGAGTCTGGCAGGGAAATCAGCTCAGCCAAACAAAAGGAATATCCTGTGCGGTGGGGTGGTGCGGGACACTTACAAGGCACGGTCTGTCTGACTGACTTCTGGTGGTCGTCGTGTAACTTTACAAGGCGGGGAAGCTTGCTCCCTTGCGGTTGTGGTCCTTGGCTTAAATACTTGCCTTCCCCTTACAATTCATCACAGAAATCATATAGTATGTATATGTATATTATAGAGCACTTACAAAGATTTCAGAAAATGGTCTGGGCAAAATGCAAAAAATGGGTTATTCCTTCTTTAAAAACTTTTTTGTCATTTTACACTTGCAAAAAAGAGCAGTTATCCATACTGAAATAACCAAAATAGCATGCACGTACTTTGCTTTGTATTTACTTGTATATTAACTCACTTGGGATTCCTTTACGCCCATTAATTTGTTAATCAAAATAAAATAATAGCTGGACAATTCAAGGATTTGTTTTCCACAATTGTATGTTGGTTCAACCCATCTCAAGCACATTGCCCTACAGCAATTTACACACGTGATGGTCCACAAATGCACAATCATCCATCCATTCATTCTGACTCATTCATGCAACCATGCTTGGTTATAATTCTGATTACAAGTACAGTTGTAGTAACATTCCTCAAAGAATCACCACGCGATTCTGTATGTAAACGTCATGTGCTGCATATGTAGAGTGTAGCAGAGTGAGTAGGTGGATGCTTGGTTCCATACAGCACTGGGCTAGTGAATACGTCTCTTGCGTCTTCTTGCCTCTTCTGCTGAATGCTTTCACCAGTTCTACTCATCTTGCTCCACCCAATCCACACGTGCCCAGTCAGGCAACTCTGTCTCATAGGACCACCCTGGACCCTGCACAACCCAAAAACACGGAATGAGATGAGCAATCAAATATACTGAAGACAACGTATTATGTGAATTATAAGGAAGGGGCCACTATCAAATTTTGTAAAAAATTCTTTAAATAAAAATATTTTTTTAAAAGTGAAAGGGCAAGGGATATATAATACAATAAATAATGTGTCAATCTTTTACAGCTTTGTCGACCACCTCCACTATGTATGGCAATAAACAGTTTTTTTCCCTAATGAATTACATTTTTTTGGGGGCCTCCTAGCCAAGAAAAGAGTAAGTATCTTTGGATCTTTTGGGGGGGGGGGCTGGATCC